CTAATGTCTTAATGTAACATCAATGTATATTTGAAAGACAATCTATATGCAAAAAAGGTTTACATTTGTGTTCTCATGTTATAATGGTCCAACATGGTTACATAGATGAGACTATGAGACTTGTGTATTATGTAAGGACATGAGAGAGCAAATACTACATGGTAAAAAAAAGACATGAGTGTAAAAAAATGAAGACCGTTGTTTGTGTCTGTTCTTTTCGATAACACTAATGTTAGTCAGTACCATTTGCAACAAGAATTTCGTTAAGCAACATGGATGCATGCTTCTCTGAGTTTATAAACCTCTTACCTTCAAGCCCTACAACAAGTGCCAGATGAGTACTATCATTTGGAAGCATTCCTCTCTGAACCATCATACCAATCAACTCACATGCTTTCTCGATTTCCCCTATACCGCAATATCCGTGGATGAGAGTATTATACAAAATCACATCTGGTTTTAACCCGGCATCGAGCAACTTATTAAACAAAACAATAGCTTCGTTCATTCTCTGTGCTCTGCAATAGCCATGTAGTAATGCGCTGCACGTTACAACATCAGGTTTCACTCTAAGATCAGCCATGTAGAACCACAAAAGAAACGCTTCCTGAAAATCCCCCTTCTTCGAGAACCCACCAATCACATCAGTGAATGCTAATGCACTAGGAACAAATCCCCGTCGGATTAGCTCATTGATAATACCGTTTGCTTCATCGACGTATCCTCTAACGACCATGCTATGTATCAAGATATTGTAGGTTGCAACATCTGGAGAGATACCTGAAGATCTCATTCCATCCATAAGCTCAAAAACTTTATTCAGCTGATATGTCTTCCCATACCCATGCATTAGATTGTTATATGTTACAACATCGGGCACCAAACCCTCGTTTTTCATATTCTGAAACAAAGATTCTGCATCGCATACATTTCCAAACTTGCTGCAAGCACCAATAAGCAGTGTATATGTTGTTAAGGATGGCGGGTTTCCGCTTTTCAACAATGCTCCAAAATATTGGAAAGCTTTATCTATGTTTCCTAATTCACAATACCCACCGATCATGGTAGTATAACAGACACAATCAGGAAGAAGTCCCAACTCAAATATCTCCTGAAATACGGTAGAAGCTTTAAGCATGTCTCCCGTGCTACATATATTTGACAGAAAGCTACTGTACACAAAAATGTTTGGTCTAAGACGAAAAGAATGAATGAGCTTAATGGCTTCCTCTGGTTTTCCTATCTTACAGAACCCATCAATAACCGAACTGATGGATACAGAGTCCTGAGAGAGACCAAAGAGTTTGAGATTAGACAATACCGAACTCGCTTCTTTTAGAAAGCCTGCCTTACATAGTCTATGAATGAAAACTGTAAACGCCACAATATCGGGCCTAATTCCATAGTGTTTCATCACCATAAGCAATTCCCAACCTTTATGAAAACAACCATCAGAGCAGTATCTGCTAATGAATAGGGTAAGCACAGCAGCATTTAGATGCCTCCCTCGACTAATCATGTGTTCAACAAATTCCCGAGCTAACTCCAAGCCGTGAATTCGTAGAATTTCCTTAAGCAACGAAATACAAACCCCTCGTGAAGGAAAAATGCCAAACTGATCCATTTTGTAAGTTAGTTTCAAGGCCATCTCTACTTTTCTCTCTTTAATGCAGCAATCAATCAGGATGGAAAGCACGGTCTCTAAAACCCGACGATCAATACGAGTTTTGAAAATCTCATTCATAACTAAACACAAAGATCTCTCTTCTCCACCGTATTTCTTCACGAGATGTAAAACCATATCTACAGCTCTATAATTCATGTTTCCAGATACCAAAATATGAATCATTCGGCTAATAGACCTACTTGAATGCTCAGCACCGATCCACAACTCTGACCATCTAAAGAAGTATAGAGCAATAGATGCATCCGAAGTCTCTTTAAACAAATCATCCAAAATTCTGATAACTTTGTCTTGATCAAGCTCAATACTAAACCCACTCTCAAATCTATGTATCCAATTGTGCTTCACAAGCACATCTCTAATAGTTTCAACACAATTACTTGAGACTTTCACATTCTTAAGAATGATATTAATGTCTTCACCAAAAGGCAAACTGGAACAAATACTTGAATTTGAAACATAATTTCTTGATCCAAAATTACCAGAATCACTCTGAAATCTGGAGTAATCAGACAACGAAGGAAGAAAGAAGTTCCTAGACCAGAGATTTCTAAAAGCCTTAGTTCTTGTAAGCAAATGATTCAATCCAGAAGACTTCAGGTTAAGAACTGAGCTTGAAACCCACATAAACAAGAACTGTGTTCAGAAGTAATAATCTGAAGACAAAAAGGGGGAGAAGAAAAAAAGTGTCAATTTTCTAAAAAAATTGGTCAGTGATTAAATAAACCCAAGTCGTCACTAAACGAAACCTACTGCTTACAGTTTCAGTAGCAGCACACAAGATACTTTGAACCATGAATCATGTCCGAATACTTTCACACACAAAAAAAACATCAAAGTAAGGATAATGAAACAGTAAGCTTACATGTGTGTTCTTGTCTGTGAATGCCACGAAGAGAAACGCATTTAATGGCTTGTCTCCGGAGAAACAATGGTAGCGAAGAAGAGAGAGAGATAGGTAGAGACGAAGGTCTGGTGTGGTTTCGGTTTTCTCTTCCACGAATCAAACCGGGTTTATGGAAACCATTCTTATTGGTAAGGTGGGAAAACCGAAACGCTTACAAATCGATTGGTTTCACTAACTTCAAACCGAGATATTAAAACCGTATATGAACCGGCACTTTTTTATTAGAACCGGCGCTGTTTTATTAGTATAACTGATCAACCCTGAATAAACCAAAATTTGTTATTTTTAATTATATACACATCATATTTAACATAAAATTAACCATAATAATTTGCCATATTTTTCAATGTGCATCCTAATGAAGAGGTGAATAGAAGTTTCCAAGCTGTAGAAGAGTGGCTTTCGGTTCAAAATGCAGAGTTGTTAACAGAAAGTAGGGAGCATGTTGAGAGATCA